GAAATGGAATTCGTTTTATAATTCTTTTCTTAGGTTTTTGTTTTCCCTTTTCAAAAAGCCCCCTTTTCAGCATACTTTTAAAATGTGTTGTGTTGAAACAAATTGTTTGGTAACATTCCCCTGGAATGTGATGGAAAAGTGATATTCCTTCTATCTCTTCAGGACATTTGCAGCTGTAATGCATATTTACATTTTTTTCCCCTGTTTTGCTTAATCAAATTAGGTTTTCTTGACTTCTTTGTTTCAGGAGTCACCTAAATGTGCTAGATAATTCAGTGGAAAAGTGTGGCTTAAACATATTATTTGTTGAGCTCAACATCACACAGGGAAGAGGCTTAGATATTTTTGTATCATGCTTGCTTTGATTTCTTTGTTAGGATGACCAGAAATTGGATTAGAGTTGCAGCCTCAGCATCTCCGGAGAAAAGATTGTATTTACACTTCTGAATTTGAGGTATGATACCTTAACTGCTTTTTCACATGCTAAATGGATGATGATTAAACTAAGACAAGGCAATATTTGACGAATATGAAAGCAATTTTTTATAGTGAAGAATAGTTTCTAAGGGGAAATAATAGAAGCCTGCAGCCTGGGACACCTAAAACCGGTATGTTCATAGTCCCAAGAGGCTTATTCTTGCTATCTACTGTATACAGCTAGAGGATAAAGTAAGTCTTATATGCTTCCTTGAAACTTCATATTTTTTTCCAAAATCAGGAACAAAACCTTATCTATCTACTAAAGAAGATTGTCCAATGAGAAAAGGTGACCAATAGATAGCCAGGTTAACTATCCAGGCTGACTGTTGAAGTGTGTTCCTTTGGGGAAATCTCTCTCCAAGTGGAAAAACTTTGTTCTTATTAACAATATGGATGCAATTGGCTTCATCCCTTAGCCAGAGGAACCTGAGCTCAAACGTGAACACTGCTACCAAAGTCAAACATATAAACAGCCTAAGGTGGTCTGTAATATTTTGTGGCAGGAAAAAGAAGGTTTGAAGAGATTTTTTTTCATTTTCTGCCTTAAGCACATGAGTATTCACACATACGCACAAAATTACACATTGCAAGTTCTTATTATGTGTCTTATCTTTCACACCACTAAAATACATGGATTTTTAATTTTGAAACATGACTACAAATGTGACAGCAAGAAAATTACTTTTTAAATATGAAACCAGAGTTTCATATTTTCAGAAGAAGGATATGAAGGTTAGAAACATGTTTCAACTGTAAATCCACCTATTTCTTCAGGAAATTATTTGGGCAAACTGAGAAGAGATGGTTTGAAGGATCTGCCAGTGAAGGAGGCAATATCTAAGCAGCAAGGGTGTTCTTCTACAAAGAGCAGGCAATTTAATCACCTTTCTAATGAATGTAATAACTAAGCATTAGAGTAGATTGCTGAGGAAGATCATGGCATCTCCATTGTTGTTTTTAAAGAAAGGAATATTAGAAAAATATCCATCAAGATTGACTCAGATGAGGCCTTGATGTACAGGGTTGGACTGTTGAACATTTTTTCTGGCTCAATTTCACCTCCTCTGAAAGAACATGTAGCTTTTTTAAGAGATGGTTCTGAGAGAATGGCAAACTTCCATGGTCACTTCAGTAAGTACTGGCAATGACAGAAGCAAATGAGTGTTGTCAGACACCTAAAAAAATCAATGAGACTAAAACTGGGGACTGTGGTTTGCAAACCCAACAGTGTTCTGTTGAATGGAAGATGGACATGGTTGGACTGTGAGGCTGAAGAAAGATAGGCCTCAGAAAGGATCTTTCTTGGAGAGGGGCATTGTACAAGAGCATACAGTTATAGGACAAGGAGCAATGGATTTAAGCTGAAAGAGGGAGGTTTTGATTAGATATTAGGAAGAAAATCTTTACCGTGAGGGTGGTGAGACACTGGAACAGATTGCCCAGAATTGTGGATGCCCCATTCCTGGAAGTGTTCGAGACCAGGTTGGCCGGTGCTCTGAACAACCTGGTCTAGTTGCACAGGGTATATGCCTGCTGCTTTCCAGCTACCACAGTGCTGCTGGTGCCTGAACTCTTGCATGTGCTCTGATCTAGCTCCTCGTCAGAGCTCTCTTGAGCCCTGCCCAGGACTTAGGCCAAACAGTTTCACACACCACCAGAGGACAAGAGCAATCATCCTGGTGGTCCCCAGAAGTGACTATCTCCCTCAATAACAGGGAGCAAGATGCAACAGTGTTGAGACTTTTCCTAGCCTGGCTCTTCACCACAGACATGAAAGGTGCCTCCCTTTTCTCACTGAAAACAATTCCCACGGTCTGTGACAGAGATGCAGGTGCAAACTGTGAGCGGGTCTACTCACAGACTTTTGACAGGTGCCCTCAAATTTTCTTTTGGTTTCTTTGAGTCTAGAAGAACAGCACTTTACGCTAGACTTTAATTTCAGTGAACCTGCTGACTGGGTTTAACAGGAGGAGGGCTTCCCTCACCCTCTTGGAAACTGAGCAAAGACAGTATTTAGGGAAAAGTGGTGAAGAGATGAAGCACCAGAAGGACCATCAGACTGTCAATCTGGAACACAGAGCTGCTCATCACATGCATCTCTGCTGGTTTAGAGATGCCTCATACTGCATTTATTAAAAAAGGTAATAATCCAGGAATGACCATTCACAACTTAAATATACCTGCTGGAATGGGATGCAAAGTGTTCTCTACCCTTTTCGTATTTGTTATAGAACAGACATTGGATTTCTACTGGTTCAGAGCTGCAAACCTTTAGTGAACCACTTAAAGTGCATGAGGATGAGTGGTTTCCCTTTGGCAGACAGAACCAACCTTTCCTGAAGAGCTGGGAGAGGCAAGATAATTGGGAGAGAAAATGGGGTAGTACCTTGTACTTAAGTGCACTGTGTCCTGTGGAATATAGGGCACATTAGCAATATCTTTCCTGAAACCAAAGATGCATATTTAGCGCATTGGATTCACATTTTTGTTCTCTGCACAAACAAAGGTGATACTACTGGAATTCTGATTAAGTCTAATGAGGGAAAGTGTAATGTATTCATTCCTTCCACTCTGGCTTCTTGAACAGATTAGCTGCAAAATTTGCCCTTCTTGATGCTCACAAAACATAAACATAGTTAGAAGGGAATCATAATACTACTTGATGTAAACCCAGTGCTTAATTTTTTAATCTTTAAATAATAGATGTTAATGCATCAATAGCAAATTAAGAAGATGACATCTTTGCCTATTTATATTAGTTGTTAATAATCAGTAGATTAACACTGCTGCATACCAAGAGCAGGTTTATACATGGACAGTAGGAGGTGATAACATCCTATTCAACCAAGATGTCTTTGAGTCTACCACAGGATTATGTGACGGAATCATATGATTCCTAAAGGAACTAGCAGAGAGAAATCTTAGTTTAGACAAAATTTTGTACAGAAATGTAGTAAAAAAATAAAGAAAAACAAACATGGGAACATTTTAAGAGAATATTTTAATTTGTAATTATTTTTGTGTCTATACATAGTATGATTTTCAAAGTTTATGAATACATACCTTGCATATACTACACCTATACTTGCACAAACATTCAGATAGGTTAGAGATAGCCATTATCACTTGTTAGGATAACTTAATTAAACTTGCTTATTAAAACCCTTTAATTCGTTAGTGATAAAATCTTGATTAGTACATTTTCCTGCTAGGTGACCTTCTAATGTAATAGAAAACGAATTTTTAAATGGAGAAAAATGCCTGTGGCAGAGATTTTGTGCAAGTGAATAGAGTTTGTAATACACATAGGGATATAATCGAGCCTAATTAGTGAGGGTGCAAATGAATTTTTATTTCATACACCAGAAGTGTCATTGATGAACCATGGTTCAGAGTTTGATATGCATTCAGGCTGGCAGTATGGGACTGAAGTCTGTGGGAAAATCACAAGCTAATTCATTGATTGCCCCTTGGAAATTACTGCTGTTAATTGTTAGGTAATTAACATGGAGCTACAATTATACTGGCCTTAGGGGGTGATTAATGTTTCAACATGTCACATTAGCAGTGGCTGGATTTTAAAAGCTTTTCTTTTCACATGGTTTAGAGACAGATGGTATATTGTCTATGGAAAATTGTTTTCTTTTACTAAAGTTTATACCAGAACTAAGTGAATGTTCTTCTTGTGCTACAGCCTATTTTTATGTAGTTGAATTGTAAGCATCTTGGCCTGATGCACCTTAAGAAATGATGTGTTTTTTTTAAAAAATTCCCCATTATACCAGCTATGAATGAATAAAATATCCATATTGAAATGACATTATTTCTCTTCTTACTTTATTATGTAGAAAATAAAAAATAGATAATGTAAGATTAGATCACTTCATGGCAGCTATTATATTATTTAGCACTGATACAGGAAAAAGAATTGCACAATACAATACTTATTACAATCAATATAATTTAAGCAGAAACCAAATAAAACATGTTGAACAAATGCATTTAGTAACAGTAATAAACATTATATTAATACCTCCACACTTCAATATTATGCTTTGCTCTCTGTTTAGATTTTTTTCTCTTCTTATGGTTCCAAGAGTCAGAATAAGACTGGCATGGACTTTTTAGAATCCTACTGTGTTCTGCTTTGTCTTTTAATATACAAAATTAAATCCTTAAAATTTTCCTTCAAAGACATTAGTGTCTGTGTTAGGAGGATTGTTAATGTATCCTGGGATGACTAATAATATTTTCTCTTTTTTTTTTTTTTTTCACTCTGAATGCTGCTTCACTAGATAGACGTTTTGCAAACTGGTAGATTAATGGTATTCACTGTGTAAATATTTTCTTGGTAATATTCCTAAAACATGGCAAATGTACATTCCTGTTTGCAGTAGTTTTGAAAGCATTTCAATTCCTTCTCATTATTGGTAATGAGAGTAAGTCTGGTGAAGAGTTATGTTTAATGTCACACTTGGAATAGTTTCTGTAAATTTATAAGATTACTTTTTTTTTTTTATAGTCAATGAAGTCCCATAGTCCAAAAGATGTAATGGTAAGTGAAAGGATCAGTTTCTATGACAGCATCTATCTTTCTCTTGTTTCATTTTTTGTCTTCCTGTGATACTTCAAGTTGCAGTCTTTCTTAGTAGTCTCATACCATAGTCTTTGTCATGGCTCCAGTCGCTTGCATTTGTATTGATTGGTACACTGCAATATATCACAGAAATATTCATTATTTTCAGCCATGTCTGCTAATAACTTAATTTCTGTTAAAGCATCTAAATCTGGAGGATAGGTTTCTACTTTAGAAATAGTCTTTTTAGAATAAAAACAAAATCTCCAAAAAACCTCCCAAAAAAGCCAAAACCCAACCCCCCAAGAAATGTATCAGAAAGACTTGCCAATTTTGTAAATATCCTTTTGTCTTTATGATTTTACTTTCTACAGAATTGTATGAATTAAAAATTAATATGCACCTAGGTTTAGTTTATATGATTTTTCTCATTTTCTTAGAGGATCCTGGGTGTTACCTGAACATGCAAAGTAGAAATGACTGAACTGGAAGAGTTGGATTTTATGAAGAACTTAATGGAATGGAATGACTAAGAATAATTATACAGCAGGGGAATTATACAGCATTTGGTTAGTCATACAGGCCTTCACTTGAATGATCAGGAGCCAGAAAATCTCAGTACATGGCTAGGTTTAACCAGAGATTCTGACCACTGCTTTTAAAGAGCAGTAGTAGTAAGCTGATACAATGCTTGGTCAGCACAACCCTTAAGCATATGGTTAGCTTTAAGCACATGAGTAGCTCTGTTGACATTAGAATTAAGTCTCTACTTACATGTTTTGTTAGATTAGGGTCATTGCCCTGGAAGAACTCGATAGGGGAAGAACACTCAAATTGGCAGCCTTATGAAATTACTCCTGGCCCCGTGTCTATGGAATAGTACATTCATCTGCTGAAAAACCTCAAATCAAAGTCTCTGTGCTCATATATCCTAGAACAGATCCTAATTTACACTAGGGCCATTTTGGACTTAGTATGTAAGAGATATGCAAGTATTATTTATTCTTCCTTTCGGAACCGTCTGCATTGCCAGTGCATTAATAAGGGTGAGCATCAGATTCTATATGATTATTTGATCACTAGTAAAAGTTTGAGGCCATAGAATTCCTCAAAAGTATGTTATACATATTTATGTTAGCTTATTAGATTATTGTCTTCTGAATTTCCATTTGATTTCTATTTATGGGGGAGGGGAAGTTTTGTGCTAGTTTCTATATTTTATGAAAGCACTGTCTGTAATACTAGTTTATTTTAAATTTAGGATTTTATGCTAGTTGGCTGTTACATAAATGTTAAGACCGTGGTGAAAAAACAGAAGGAAACTGTATAGGTTGATTTCTTTTCTTCCTTTTCTAAAGTGACTGTAACCATCCTACTAATAATACTTATTGGGAGATTATTTCAAGTCTCAGGATTTCCAGGTCTGACTCATAAATTCTGAAGGCTCTCTAGCCCATTATACTTCAGAGGACACAATAAAGAAGTTGTCTGTCCCTTGCTAAGAAAAGGTCTCTGAAACAGGCACTGTAGTTCTGCCAGGGTTTGCAGAAGAAATTGCCTGAAAAGCTTGGATGTTTTATGGAAACGATGTATCGTGGTTTAAGAATGGCATTCCCCAGTTTAGTGTTTCCACTAAAACACTCCAAACCCTGTGCTGCTCTTTCACTCTCCCTAACCCCCTCTTCCCCGTATGGGGTAACGGAAAGGGGAATTGGAGGCACAAAACATAAAGGTCACAGGTTGAGATAAGAAGAATTTACTGGAAATAGCAATGAGATAAGAAAATGAACAGTAACAGCAACAATACTAATAATAGAGTGTACAAGAAAAAAATGATTTGCATGCCAGTGCTCATCCCTGACAATACCTGGCTGTTCCCTCCGTCACGCCAACTAACCTGGAAGGGACCCCTTCCACCCCTAACCCTCCTAGCAATGATGTGAGGTGGTATAGAATAACCTCTGGGTCCTAGCCATGCCCCTCCTGGCTACTGCAAAAATTAACTCTCTCCTGGCCAGAACCAGGACTGTATGCTTGAGGAGGAGGCCACCAGGAGTATGTAAAACATCTGAGGAATGGACTTGTTTGAAGGAGAACGAGGAGGTGAAAAAGAGGAATTTCCTCTTTCTTTGTCAAAATTTAAAACATTTTCTATGCTTTGCAGCAAGTTACCACTCTTTCTCCCCTGTGTTTTTTGTTCTAGCTGTTTTCTCATACTGAATTAGAAGACAGAATTGGAGGTGGATTTGTATGTGTAAAAAGTGGCATTGAAGACCATTGCACCTCTTGTTATATGTGTGAATATGCATCTGGCACAGGATATAATGTTCTAGACGAATGGACCTCCTGACGGGAGCCTTCTGCAAAATATCTGAAGTGTGAACTTGACCCTTTGAGTGAAGTTTATGGATACTTTTTGGCTCTTCTGCCATTGACTCTGCCAAGGTTCCATACAAGGTTCCTTGTGTGAGTAGACCAACTTTCATTCATTCCCTTGTTCCTCCTCACCGTATCACTCAGTGTGTTTGTTTTTCTACCAGCTACAAGAGCATATTCACCCCTCTCCCAGTGACATTGCAGGCAATTTGTGGGCAATATGTACGCATTCATATTCAAAATATTAATAATGATTGGAAAATTACTCTAGATCTCTAATGGTAAAAAAAAAAAAAAAAGAAAGAAGTAAAAAAACCTCCCCTTTATACTTTTTCTCCAGATTTATATTTGTGTAGGGGACACCTGTCTTAAAGAAAGATATATCTGACAGATTTGACTAGAAGGTACATATCTCAACCAGAACATGCATTCAAAGATGTATGTTTATTTAGAAGAAAAAAAAGTTCAGGAAATAGAGAAAAAGTGTACATATGGAAAGATAAAGACATGAAAGCTCCTTCCTTTCTGAAATTTCACACCAATCAGCTGCTTAGTTTGTAGGGAGAATGTTGGAATGTATGCTTATTTTAAGCCCATCTGAGAACACATTCCACTGTTGGAGCCACTACCAAGAACCTCCATATCTGTATGTGCCTATGCTTGTATGCGTAAGAATCAAACTTCAATCCAATTACTTCTGGAAGGAAAAATGTGAAGGTTTATCAAACCAAAAAAACCTTGAAAATGAAAGTACTGTCAAGGTTGGTCAATTTTTAGGAAAAAAAAATTTTAAAATCCTTTATTTGACCTCTTTTCATGTTTTTCCACTGATTTGTTTGCAGTCTTCTAAATAAGTTTTCGCTTTTCTGGACAGCCATTCAGAAATTAAATACTCCTTCTTGTTTTTACTTTTTAACTATTTCTTCTGATCCTTCACTTCATTTCCTGGTCGTACAGTAGGCAATATACCTGTATTTCTTACTATTGTGTTTTGTTGTCTATTTTGGAACCCACCTTTTTGAAATAAATCCTCTGACCTTCTCTTTCTAATGTCTAATGACCACAACCGGCTCCTCACAGCTTTGCTCGTAATCTTATCTTTTCTGTCATTGACTGTGTAAATCTGTTTCTGTCACAGATGAACTGACTTCAGTCCTGCTCTTTGAAAGCTTGCTCAAAGCTGGCTGGCTTTGCATCATCCTATGGAGTTCCAGTCTAAAATTGCTCTCTGCATTCTCTTGCTCACAGTTCAAACTTCACAGTATCTTGGTCTTATGAGAAAGCAAAATAATTTGTCTCTCCGCTTTTGCAACTGTACCTACTATCAACTAATTTATTTTTTGTTTGGTTTGTGGTTTTTTTTTCCCATTTTGCTGATGATTGCTAATATTACTCCATGGAGGTGGCTATGTATATATCTTGATCAGGTTATCTGAATGCTTAGAGATGAGCTGACATGTTGGTTCTTGGTTGAATCCAGAATCCAAAGAAGCGAATTTCCTAGGGGGCTGCTATAGATATTGCATTCACTCTTGCCAAGTATCTCTGCTTTCTGCATATTCATCTGTCCTCCTGCATGTATTCTCATAAATTTTGTCATTATCCCTCTGAGTAACTTTAGCTTACTGCATGTAATTTAAGTGTTTAAAGCCATTTGTTCAGGTATGTGGCCCCTAAAGAAATCTATAGAGAGACTGAGTGCTCCAAATCAGCTGGTCTACAGTGCTCTGTCTAGGCAGAGTGTTTCTTCATATAACTCACACAATGACTGTTCCAACAAAGGTGTGCTAGCCAAACTAGGCAAAACTCACTTAACTCTTTTCTGTGGCAAGTTTTATACCCAGCATGTGCATAATGACCTAATTTAAAGTGCTGGATATTCAATGTCTTTTTAGGGAGACACAACATTCTTTGCTAACATTTGCGGCACAGTAACAGCTCTTCATCAAGCTTTATGTGACAGGATTTGACTCTCTTTTCATGAGCAGAGAGCTTGTATATTCAAATTTGTTTGAGACCCAGGGGCCACTCACTTTGTTCGATTTTCTAATATTCATTACTGCCAGTTGAACAGCACCACTGAAAAACCTTGCCAGGCCCTCCTCATAGTGGCAAACAATAGAAAAATCCTTGAATTATTTCCAGAAAGTCCTAGAACCTTATGATAACAGAAAGGTGAGGAAATAATGTCAAATTTCTATACAAGCTGAGACAAGATGACAATATATATATTGTATATGTAGTGCAGTACAGTAAGAAAGTAATCTTTACTCCCTCTATATATTAATCTTCTACAGCCTTCAAAGATTTTAATTTCAGTCCTTCAAAAAAACGGCATTAAGCCACACTTGATTTTTAAATGTGCCTTTCTGCACTAAGTGCAACATCTGGCATTCCAAAAATCTTTTTCACAATTTCATGTACATTTAAAATGTTATTCTATAATCATTTTGTTTTTAAAAAGGATTTTAATATGGTTTAGTTCTAAAAAAATTAAGAATAAATCAAAATATGTAGTAGGGATTAATACAAATGTGTATTAGAAGAGCAAAGAAATCACTGAGACAAGACTAATCATCATTTAGATTATCAGTAGAAGATGATTAAAAAACAAAGGATTGTATGACAAGTTATGTTGATGCCATGTTTGTGTAGCCAAATGTTTCAGTTTTATAAATGAAAAAGCCTAAGCAGCTTACAGTGAGACAAAGTAATCATTCAAATTACAAACTTAAGAATTTCAAATTACATACTTCATCAAGTTGAGTCTATTGTAACTTAAAATACACAGGGAATGATTCACCCTAGTTGAAATACAGCATGTAATATTTCAGCCATTATGAAATTGCTGTTTGGTTTTACAAAAGTGTTAATGCCATTAAACCATCTCTTTTTAGGACGAATACTCCAAACTCATACTGTTTATAATCCAACAGCTAGGAAGAACATTTTCTTGTATTCAAATAGAGATTTGTTTGGGTTATTTTTTTGGTTTATATAAAAGCAGAGTTGATCTATCTGACCGTGCACTCTTGCTCTAATAATTAGATATTTTTGATCAAGAGCTCAATCCTCCAAATATTTAGCAGAAAGTAAAGTATTTGGTGTTCTTGTTGCTCTCATTGTGAATGGGAGTTTTTCTACTGCAAAGACTGAATAGCAATTTTGGGCAAACTATATGCCTAACATTAGAACTTGTTTTTCTAGAATATTATTGCAAAAAATAGAGTGGTGCAGATTCCACCTTTGCAATGATTATCTCATTAAAGAACAGGGCTTGGGCTGTAACCACAATTCTTCTTCCATTCTTTCAGTTTGGGAATTTTCACTGAAGCAATTTCAGGTGAATGTGATTGTGGGTTTATTCTTACTGAAGGGTTCCTTCAAATGTCTGGCTCATGTTCATCTTCTTTATCAATGGTGTTGATGAGAACATTAATTTGTTCTTAGTTTTAGTGGATATTTCTGCTTCTGTCCTCCAATTGCTTTACTAACTGTGCTATATCTCACACTAAAATATTATGTATTAAAATATTGTACTAAAATGTTGTAATTCTAAGTGTTTTTGGGTTTTTTTTTCTAGAATGTTGGTAAAACCCAATCACAATATTGTAATAGAACCTTTTCTCACTTCTATGATTTAGTTTTTCAGAGAGGACACCGTGTGTGTGGTACATGGATATCTGAAGTGCTTATATATACCTGTTTCTCTGCTTTGTCTAGCAGTAAATCACAGTATTGATGTTAGTGTGATACCGTGAATGCCTTAACAGTTTTGTTCTATCCTAGTTTAATTATAATAGCACAAACTTTGTTCAATATTAATTTAAATTAATGATATTGAATATTACATTTCTTGTGGTCTGCTGTGAATGAATAAGCTTTGAGGAAAATGTAGATGAGTTTTGTTTTGTTTCCTCTTTTTTTTTTGGTGTTTGGTTTTTCTTTAGTTTTTTTTCAAAAATTCTACTAAAATCAAATCTGTATGTCATACCCAATAAATTAAAGCATATAAAAATAAAAAAGTATTAAAAACTGAAGCAAATATATACCCTTGTAGCTTCTTCTCTCCTCTAGGAGTAATCAAATTAAAAATGCAATTCAAAGTCTGACTCACTTGGAAAATCTTAGTGTCATGTTTCTATTCTGACTGTCTCGGGTGATAGGTGGAGGTAAAATTTGTAAATGTGGATTTTCAGCTGAGAACTAATCTGGGGTAAAAATACTAGAGCCACATTCTGGTGAAGGTGCAAATTTGAGCTGAAGTAAGAGGGAAAAAAAATGGTTCCCTATTTTAGAAGTAAAATTGTCATGAAACATAGGGTCTACTTGAAGTCTTGTGCAGACTTCTGTTATATAACTTCTATCAGAGAGAGACCAGTATGTTCCTATCATCTGGAGTTTCTTTGCTCCTTGAGAACACCTTCAACTACATCTGTGCCACTTGAATAAAACACGATTCCTCAGGAGCAACCTTTCTGCTTCCTTGATACCTTACATGCCCACTGGTATGCCAAATCCTGTGGCAATCAGGGACTTAAAATCCAGTCAAAAGCACCTGTAAGCAATATTATCAGCCAGGCTCTGAGCCTTATCCTATCGTACAGGCAGATGTGTTAGCAGCCTGTGACTTAATTTTATGATAAAAATTTTCATTCTAGATGTAAAAACCATTCATGAACTAGATCCCGTGACTGCTTTGTGTTGAAATGACTGATATCAAATAACCAAACAATATTATTATTATGTGACTTAGCTACCTGTAAGAGCTGGAAGAACATAAGATTTGATAGTCTTTTCCAGGGACACATTTGGTGTTACATATTTCAGCTATGTGCAGTGTAACATATCACTGTAGTGTTGCATACATAGTGGTACTCCTATTAAGTGACTTGTCAAGTGCACTATATCAGTCAGCTCTCTTGGTTTCCCAGTAGATCAGCACCTCTTTCAGCTGTACCTCTCATTACTTTCCTCTCTTATGTACATACAGGCAAAGCCCTGTATAAGTTACAAACATGGTTTTCTGTTAGAGGTTTTATGGTCTTCTCTTTTTTTTCTGTCACTGAAGAGGTGACTGCCTCTAAATTTGAAAATACAGTGTAGTTGAAGTGTAGATAAAGATTAAAGAAAAAAACACTTAGTCTAATAATGCCTCTATCATAATACTGAAGAAAAGTAATGTCACATTAACAATAGAGGCCTCATTTGTAATTAAAGAATTATTTTACTCTAATTAATCAGATTTAATTAACTTTAATTTAAGAAGGTGTAATTTTGTATGATGGAAATATATGCTGTAACATGATATATGATCATTAGTCTGATAAACAAAGACTGCCTTCTGATTAACTTTTGGGTTTTTTCCCTTTTAATTTTCTTTTACTTTCCTTTTTTTTCCCCCAAATCCAAAACCAACAACTACAAGGTGACACTTTTTGTAGATATTTTATCAGTCATTAATCATGCATTTTAAAAATTTTAACAGGAATGATTAGCCAGAAGACTGATTTTTGTTTAAATATTTGTTATGTTATACATGAGTTTGTTTTTAGCATGATTTATGTCATTTGGGATATCTTTGAAGTTGCAACAATTAGGGAGTAAAAAATTTTAAAAAAGAGTTTTATGTAGTGCCTAAGATCTCCTCTGCTATTCAATCAATGGATTAATTATTAAACTGCTTGTATAAATGCACCAAATTTGCTGTTGGCCTAATATTCCTTTTTCTTTCTCTAATGTTTACCCTACTGCTATACCTACAGATTTGTATTTGACTGTCACAATATTTTTGCTTGAATCAAAAAGACAAGCTCTTTTAGTCTGATAATAATTCTAAGTATTCTTCTCTGCTCTCATTTGTGTTCTCAAAATTTGCTTTCTCTGAATATCTGACTGAGGACTGACAGGGTATTCATATTAGGACAGCAGAGTCTAAGGAGAATATTGTGCCAATGGTAGCAGGCCTTGTCCATTTAGAATAAATTAAGTTACTGCCTAAAGCATTGACTTGTGGAGTGTGTATATATGCATCCATTCTGATCTGTCATTATCTAATGAAATTTATTGTTTCCGTTTACTTGTCTTCAGCAGATTTCTCCTTAAGAGTCAGTAAGCAGATCAGCATGGGTTCTCTGGGACCTTTGAAATCCAGGTGGAGTCCTTTTGTCCGT